GGCTGAGAACATGTTCAAGGTCACATACTAGAAAGGCCAGGAGTCAGTATAGAACACAGAACAATGTAAACCCAGTGAGACATGGTAGCTATGAATTTGAGCTATGGATTGGCTGGCGAAATATGTAAGAATAATGATGTCATTCTGAACCCTGCAAAGAGACATCATGGCTCTTAAGCCAGGGGGTGGGGGCAGGTTAAGCATTGTTATAGTGGAGAGAACATCTAGGGGACACCTACAAGATCATCTTTGACCTATAGAATCCATGACATTGTAAAGCTTCCTGGCAGACACTGGTCCATCCCTCCACAATAAAAGATTCGAGAAATCTGTTGCTGTGTCTGTGGATGCCAAAGCACACATTTTATGTCCATAGTAAACAAACTGGTCTACAAGAAAATGAGAAGACAAGGAAATAGGATCTACTAGAAATGGTCATGAGTTATGAAGAAGCTTTTCTTTTCAATAGAGGAGAAATAAAATTTTGGAATGATTTCAGTCTTGATAATAAACAAGAAAATATAACAAAACACATTTTTTTGCCAACTAAGTTGGGAGAATAATTTCAAAAGTGGTTACACCCATTACAATCATAAAGAATAATGCAACTGGAATTCCTTTTGGCTGAGGAGAAACCACACTAAGAAAACAAAAGAAAGTGTAAAGGGAATGTTAATACAAACATTTCCATCAAGTTTTATTTATAAACGATCTAAAATTCCAAGGAGCCATAAATGGGCCAGGAGGCAGGGGGTGGGGACCAAGGTAGGTGAGGGGAGCCAAGAGTGTGGAACCTATACACACAGCCTGCACCACAGGCCCTAACAAATGCAGAATTTGCACAAAATTTCCAGGGAGGCAAGGACAGATATGAAAGCTAAGATCTCAGCACCAGAGGGCAGCAGGGTAGAGACAGGAGAGGCACATTCTCAGGTAAAGAAATGAACAGAGTGGGAACAGGGCAAGAAAAGAGACAATCTCAACATCATTACTGATGGCCATTTGTTCACTCTTACTGAAGCACTTCAGTTACCTCCACAGGCTTCCTAACAGCCCAGGAACTACACTATTCCACATTGCAGCCAGAGGAGCCAATGTTAGGAGGAAGTGCCTGGCTTCAAGCAGGGTAGAAAGCTGTAGAGCTGAGAGGTGAACTTGGATGCATCCACCACCTAACTCAAGTTCTCTGTACCACTGAGCTGGTTGGAAACCTGCAGGGAAGCCCTTGGTGGGCTGGAAGGTTGGCAGGTAAGCCCCACTGTAAAGACCTGAGCAACTGACCAGATGGTTTACCCAACTGTAGCTTTATGTCTGTCCACTTTGGGGATGTTAGGGTTGAAGGTTATGAATGTCAGGGAGCAACATGGAAACAACTATATTAAATGTGCAGGGATGGGTGCAAACCTGGCCCTGTGTGTCAAGCACAGTTATATCCTTAGGCAAAAACCACACCATAATATTTCCAGCAGTGCTGTTTAGAATGTTTTCCCTAGTTTCAAAAAGAATCCCATAAAGTTGTTTTTATTTCTTTGTAATTAAAGAAAATCACACTGTAGAAACACACCCAAGAAACAGACTCAGGCAGGAGGGAAACAGTGTTCCTCACACAGTCCATGGGCCAGAAATAAAATGAGTCCCGCCTTCTTCTTCCGCCTGATGAAGGAATCTGTATCCAGGGCTTCTGGGATTGACTCATGTTCTATCAACTCAGTATTGCCAACCTGCCCAACAAGACACACTGTCCCACCATGAGAATCAAAGGGATCCAAGTGTGAAAGCTAGGGGGAGACTACTGGAACCTCAACATAAGCCACCTTCTGTACTGGGCCCAACCAAACAGAATTCTGGGCGTGTGAACAGTAACTTTAAACAAGGAGGAATGTTGCTCATTGACTCACTCCCAGACTCATGTTCAGCTACACTTCTTACACAGCCCAGGGCCACGCACCTAAGGATATAGCACTGCTCACAGCAGGCGGGATCTCCCATAACCATCTGTAATCAAGAAAATGACCCAAAACATGCCAACAGGCCAATCTGTGAGAAGCAATTACTCAGTTGAGGACCCTTCTCCCCAAGGATGTTTAGGTTTGTGTCAAGTTGACAAAAACAACAACAAAACTCTGACAAAGGATGGAAGACTCATTTTTGGTTCATGATTGCAGATGGTTTCTATTCATTGTGGTGGGAAAAGGCATAAGGGAGGAGCTTAGGTTATGACAGGAGCCTGTGGTGGAGGCTATCCACATGGTGGATCAGGAAGTGCAGTGCTCAGTAGGAACTGGGGACTGGGCATAAGCCTCAAAGGCTTATATATAAGCTTCAAAGCTCCAATGACCAAGCTTTGCCATTTAGGCCTCATCTCTTGAAGTTCCCAGAACCTTCCTCAACAGCGCTATCAGCTGGAGACCAAGCATTTCAAACAGTCCATGGGGAACAGAAGATGGGGAGAGTGACTTACATAGCCCTTTCCCAGGTAGTGTCTGGATTCCTCTGCACAAAATTCTGAACATGCACACAGTAGCAAAACAAGGACTTGAACCTAGTTCCCAATCTTCCACAGTCCTGTTGTCCCCAACATGTGTGTCATAAGTCACAGAAAGTGCTGTCATATCCAGCAGGCATTTTTACTGTAGCTATAGCAATCTCCCTCACAGCACTGACACATGCTTGGGAAGCAGTTGTGTATTGGATTAGTCTTTGAGGCACACACAGAGCCTCTGGCTGTCTGTATTTTCTTCCTGCTTGGGGAGAAAAGGGATGGGGTCAATCGTGACACATGCTTTAGTCTCTCAGGCATTTGGTATCACTTAGGCCCCAGCTTTCTAATGCTATAAAAGTGGACAGATCTCTTATTTTGTTTTTTGAGACAGGGTCTCCTGTGGCCCTAACTGGCCTCACACTCACTGTACCTGGCTAGTGTTTTGTCAATTTAACACAAGCTGGAGTCATCTGGGAAGAGGAATTCTCAATGGAGAAAGGGCCTTTATCAGATTGGCCTGTAGGCAACCTGCAGGGCATTTTCTTGATTGATGATTAATATAGGAGGGCCCAGCCCACTGTGGGTGGAACCACCCCTGGGCAGGTGGTCCTGGACTGTGTAAGAAAACAGGATGAAAGCTTATTCCTAATTTGAACTAATAAAAGAATAAAATAAAATAAAATAAAATAAAATAAAGAAAACAGGATGAGCAAGCCATGGGGGACAAGCCAGTAAGCAGCACTCCTCTGTGGTGTCTGCTTTGGTTCTTGCCTCTAGGTGAGTCTTGGCACTGCCCCCGACTTCCCTTCATGACTGGCTGTGATAAGGACATATAAGCTGAAAAAGAAATAAGCCCTTCAAGTCATTTTTGGTCATGGTGTTTGATCACAGTAATAGAAGCCAAAGATGTGTAGCTAAAGCTGGCCTTGAACTTCTGACCTTCCTGCCTTCCTCCCAAGTACTAGAATAACAGGTGTAGGCTGCCATGTCCAGCTGCATACCAACCACAAACTTTCCTTACCTCATGAAATGAGTCAACCCAGGCTAAACACTTAGGCAAGCCACACTGTATAACCAGTTACTATTATTCTTCCACATTGCCAGACTTCCTCATTCTACTGATATATTCTCTGAAACATGACGCCTTTTCGCCAAGACCACACTGCTACTTTACAGTGAGCGGGGAAAACAATACAGGAGAAAATTCTTGTCTATATATCCTCTGGTGAGCACACAGTGGTCCACAAAGGATCATTAAACTTATTGTTATATTACAAAGGATTACTGGATTTACTGAAATACAGGGTCTCAGAGTGGCACTCACTCCTACCTATTTAATGCAGTGACCTTGAGCTTTTGTTTACAGATCACTAAATTAAAGGTTAAAGAATCATAAAAACTACAGATCAAAGTTTTCCATCAATGTCTAAAAGTCCAAAGTCAAAAAGGAAGGTAACAACAATCGCTGACATTTATTGAGCACTTTATATATTTTATCTCTAATCCCTGTAGCAACTGTGTGAGGCAGGTTTTCTCTTTTATGGAGCAGACAGTGGAGGTACAAGGAGGTTATGTTAATGCCAAAGCAAGCAGCAGAGCCAAGCTTAGAACCTGGAGGCATTTGTCCAAAGCCCCTGCCCTTTCAAAAATGCCACACTAACTTTATTGGCATTGCATAAAGAAAAGTGCAAGTCCACAGGAAGATGGAAGGTGATTGGCCAAAAACACATGGCAGACTCTATAAAGATCCAGCAACCGAATAAAGAAGCAGATAAATAACTACAAAACCTGGAAGATCATGAGAACAAACTGAAGCCACCAACATAGCCCATTTTCTGGTAACCTTGTAGCACAGCTAATATTATTAGGCCCCCAGTACCCACATCTTTACAAAAGTAGGCTTGAATAATCAGGTAAGCTTATTCTTCCAGGTGCCAATCACAGATCATATTGGAATGCTGAGTGGTCCAAGACTCATTCTTCGAAGCAGAGAAGGTGAGATGCTTTGAAGACCACTCCTTAAAGCGTTAAAGCCTTAAAGCCCAGGAGGAACCATGGCCCTATAGATCTCTCTCCTGAGAGAGACTTTCAGGCACCATGCAACACACACATTTACTACAGTAAAAAAATGAGAACAACTGTCTACATCAAGAATTAATGGAGTTTTATTATAGAACAAAATAGAGGAGCAGAGATAGAGTCCTCCGACGGTAAAAATAACAGTTCATATTGTGGTCCCAACAGGCTACTCTGATGCTGTACAGCCTGGTGAAAAGTGCTTTTCCCATCCCTCAACAATACAGGTGGGAGCATGAGGCTCTGTTGAGTCTTAGCAAATCCATATGCCTTCTTTGAATTATGAAGTCCAAGTTCAGAATAAGACACTGACCTCAGTGCCCTAACGACCCCCTGCCCAGACATGGCCATGCCTGGAGAGGTCTATTTAGATGGCACCATTGCCCGCAATGCACACACCACACAAGGAAAATGCAAAGGCTTTTATGAAAAAATCCAAAGTTTATTGCAAATTGTATTTTGCTTCCCTTCGTTCTTCATTTTTACAAGATTTGTTGATATCCATGATTTTCTCACAGATGTACTTGTTGACTTTGGAGAGTCTCTGTGCAATTTCAGTTTCGTCCACTGTTTCTTGTGCTATTCTGTCATACAAACACTCTAGACAGAGGGAAGAGACAGGAAGGTCAAGGATTAATGATGAATTTGAGAACAAGTCTTTTAAGGAGAATAGAGAGGACATGCCTCCGACATACTTTCAAATACGGGTTCACATTATCTTACATGGTTATATATCTAAAGTCCTGCCATAAAATATAGATAAACATTATAAGTGTATACTTAAAAAATAATGGTAAAACCCAGGTATGATGGCTCATTCCATTAATCCTAGCACTTAGGAGACAGAGGCAGGCAGATCTATCTCTCTGAGTTAGAGGCCAGGAATGGTCTACATATTGAGTTCATATATAGTGAGACCCTATCTAAAACTATCAATGATAAGGCCACTATCCAAATTAATAATCCCTCTAAAACCCTGGATGCTGAACTTCTCCCCCTCCTCATCTTTATCAAAGGTAAAAATTCTCATAATTTTTTTTACTTTTCTTATCTCTTAATGTTATCATGTAGGTATATGCCTCTAAACATTTTTTTTTCTTGTCTTCAGCCTTTTAATAAATATGCCCATCACTCTATTTGTCTGACTTGCTGATTTTACTCAGTGGAACACACAATATTAGAGTATAGCTGCAGGTCACCCAGTGAAGTCACCACCTTCATTGATGAGACATTTTCTACTGTACGGCTTTATCCTACTTTTAACTGTGCATTTGATTGACAATGGATACTTGGTTTTGCAATTGCAAACAATCTTGCCCATGTCTCTAATTACCAGCCTCAGCATGGCAATGCTGAACATAGGGAGTATGCCTACTCAGCTACACTAGGTGATGCTCAGTAAATTGTTTTCCAAAATGTGCTGAATGCCATTCCCAAGTGGTAATGCATACAAGTAGGTAGGTTGCCCTATATCTTCAATAGCATGTGACACTGTCACATCACTAAGATTTGTGTGTGTGAAGGAGTCACTCATACTGGTGACTACTACTAAGGCTTAAGTTAGTACTCTCTCAGGGATCCTACTATTTGCTATGGTGAACAGAGCCAGCTTGGACAACACCTGATTGGAGCCTGATTTTCTGCCAGTCTCCATGCCTGGAGATTTGGTACAAATTATTGCCCTAGAATTCCCACATCATTAACTAGGACAACAAACTCTAAGCTAGCATTTAGAAGGATTCCAAGAAGTATGTGGCATAAATGTTTGTAATCCCCCTTTAAGCAATAAAGAATCCTATGCCCACATGGGATGGTTACAATTATTTTATGTTTATGCAACTGTTAATTTCCCAGAGCATAGTACAGTATGTGATAAAGGAACAAGCCTACATACATATATACTGAATGAATGTGTTTCCAGTGAAGACTGAAAAGGTACAAAAATTCTGGATATAACATGTAGGGATATAGTTCAGTTGGGAAAGTTGACTTGAAAGCAGGAAGACATGAGTTCCATCCCCAGAACTCATACAACAATATCCAGACATGGTGGTGCATGCTCATAATCCCAACACTTGGGAGGTAGAGACAAGTGGATTCCTGAGGCTCATTGGCTAGCTAGCTCAGAATAATTGGTGATGAAGAGACCCTGTCTCAAAAAATAGTGTAGATGGCACTAGAGAAACAAGACTGACCTCTAGCCTCTATGTGAACATATGCGCGCGCGCGCGCGCGCGCGCGCGCGCACACACACACACCCTAGACCTGGGTATGGATAGGGTGTATAATCATGGGTGAAACTACAACTTCTTTGATCTTGAGTTTGCTCACTTAGAAAACAGAGTGACCGTCCAACCATAAGGAATCACGATGGACAACCACAGTCTTGCCTTTCTGGAGTCACCACACAGAGGTGACTCAGGGCAGTAACTTGTGTGACTAACTTGTGCTAAGCCTTCCATTCACATGGGAGAAGCCTGGGAACTAGAGTGAAGGGGCAGTTCATGCCCTGGATGCCTGCCACTCCACATTCTCCTCTTGCCATCCATGCTGAGGGTGTGTGTGCCTCATGTGCTTTCTCTGAGCCACCTTTCCTCTCTACTGAGGAGAATTTTACTTAAAGATGCCTTAACTGGCCTTCACTGCCTCCTGGCCACCCCTGATTGCCCAGTTCATTTATCCTCACTCACCTGTAAGGACTGTATGGACAGCCAGGTCTTCTGCTCTGTCTACCTACAATACCTTTCTTTTACAAACCACCCCTTGAAGTAAGTGTCCTTATAATCTCTTTTCAGAAGATCCTGGTTCCCGTTTTCATATTCTTATGTCCTGCTCATTCTCTTCTGCTTGGAACCACCCAGCCGAGTGAAGAGACTGAAGTCTACCTAGCGCTCTGCTCCTGTGCCCCTGGAGTTTCCTATGGAAGTACAGATTGTGATCTGATAAAATCCAATAATCCCCCACTTCTCTAAGTCAGGACCATGTTAACAGTCGAGCCACCTTGCTTTGACCTAATTTACATCATCAGGGAGAAGTCTGTCCAGATGTTCAGGCTCAAACCTGGGTCTCATTCCAGATTCATGAGCTGAACCTGGGATTAAGTATTGCTATCCAGTGGTGTGCCAAAGTAGATAATCCAGGGAATTTTGTCTTTCCAGTGATCTCCAAGACAATAAAGGCAGGAGAGAGAAGCAAAAGACAGGATGGCAGGCATGATGGCCCCCAGTGAAAAAGTGGAAAGAGAAGGGCACACATTGAAGAATGTGTTTCAGGGAGGCCCCTACAGAATTCCAATCATCTTCATTTCCTGGGGTAACAGCTCTGAATGGCCCCTCAGGTTGATTAAAAGGCTTTTGTTAGACTCTAGTTATTAATCACCTGCAGATGCTGGGAATGTGTCCCTCTGCGAGGGAGCATTTGAGATTATTGCTTAATTAACAAGGTTTATAACAGCGCTAATGTGTCCTATTAAAAAAGTTATAAAAATTAACCAGAACGCAATGCTGCGGCTCATTTAGAAAGCTCAGACACTCTGTAAAAGGTCATTCGACCTTAATAAGGTTTGACTGTCATTTCAGAGCTTGTCATCAGAGCAAGACCTGGCTCTGTCCTCCAGCTTTCATCTTCCTATAGCAGGGTCAGCGTTTTCCCATCGTTCTGCTATCTGGTAGGGAATGATTTTAACATCAAAGAGAAGGAGAAAATCCTCCCAATGCCATGAGTGTGAAGGCTTCTGCCACTTTTATATGCCCAACAGGACACAGTATGCTCGCATCACACACAAAATAAATACAAACAGCCCCAGTCCTGCCAGACAGCTTGCCCAGGAGGAACCAGAGAGATACAAGCTGGAATAATTCAGATAATTGGGCTAATCATTCAGATAATTGGCACACAGACCTCAACTTGCCTGGCTGCAGTGAGAAAATAAAACATCAACTTCATATTTCAGTACTGCAAGACAGTCTTGCTGACACCTGAAGCCTGAAACCCCAGTCTGGCTTGGCTCACTCTGCCATAGCTGAGGGTCCTAGGAAGCCTCCAAGAAAAAAGAACTGAGCCAGATACTGGGTGCTCTAGGAAACATGGTGGAAGCACCCAGCTACACTAAGAGGTCACGGAGAGTCTCCTGGAGGGATAATATCCCAGGCAAATCTGCTGCAGTAGCTGGCACAATAGGACAGGTAGAGGGGCTGTGACTATTCCAGGCATGAGGAATAACACTTGCAAATCCCCTGAGGCAAGAGAGAATGAGGCTTGTTCAGTTCATTCTGCTAATAACTAAAAGCTACAGCCAGAGCTATAGCCAGCGGCCAGGCTGTGAACATGCCCACATGTCATGCTAAGTTTACCCTCTAATTGTGGGGACTCTGAACTGGCTGGGGTTGGTGGTAGTAAGAGATCATATCTGTTTTCTGAGAGCTCACCCTGATTACATAGTGAAGAGAAGAGTTTGGAGGCTTTGGGAAAAAGTACCCAGCTAGGCCTGAATTATGAGAGTAGTGGGTCTGAAAAGAGAGGGTCTGAGAGGTGTTCAGAAACAGGAAGAATGGAGAGGCAGGAGCATGGGAGGGGGATACACCTGTCTGGTTATGCTATTCATTAAGAGGGAATACAGAGGGCTGGAGGCCCCAGGGGAAAGGTCAGTACTCTTAAATGCTTCCTGTATGTGAACCCTGAACAAGATGTTCCTAAAGCTGAGCTTCTAATGGAGACGAGACAGAAAGGTAATTATCAAATAAGCAAGAAATGCTGTGCAGAACCTTTATTAACAGGGGCTGTGTAACAGACAGCACTGGAGGCAGGAGGATGACTAGGAGCTTGTGATCAGCTTGGTCTACACAGTAAGACCCTGTCTCAAAAACCAAAAACCAAGATGAAGCACATAGGTTTTCAGGCAAGGCAACAAAAGAAGAGGGGAAATGATTAGTAAATGCCTAAAGATTCATATTATCTGAAGAGAGAAAGTGAAAAGTCAGATCTATTGTGGGGCAGGATCAGTTCCAACATCTCAGGGCTTCATGTGTTCAAGCCTTGTTCAGGGCTGGTACTGCACTTGGCAATGAACACGGGGGAGTCAGCTACAGTTGCTTGTACCAGAGGCAGACTCTGGCAGTTAATCTCAGACCCAAACATGACAGTTATCTGAGGGTACCCGGGACCTGCTAGGTCACACCCTGACAAGGCATACAGCTGGAGGTTGGCACTGACTGGGCGAAACAGGGCTGCCTTCCGGAGAAGGCCTTTCTCAGGACGGCCTCCTGAATAAAGCTGCACCATTGTAGACATCAGCCAACTAAAGGTTCTCTCTTATTATCTAAAAATAAGTGGCTGCCTTCTTCAATTAATCATGGGCTAACCAGGAGGGGAGACACCTGTATTACATGGGGAAGGCTACAGACTAGAGTGAGAATATGTGGGGTTGAATCCAGACTCAGACACCCTATAGCTGTGGCCTTAGCTTAGCTGCATAATCACACAGTGTCTTTCCACATTGACCTCCAGAACATACAATATAACTGCACATTTCCCAACCTTAGTCTGTGACAATGCTGGCTCTCCTTGATCTTCCCAGGGGACACTCCACCAACTGATGGCTTTTGGGATCTCTGCAGACCCAAGGGGCCTACGATTCCTTTCACTTCCTTGTCAGACTGGCTCTTACTCACCTCCCTGGCCTCACTCACAACTGCAAAGCCACTTGAGCCACTTCACCTGAGTGTGCTGGCCTCTGCCCTGCAGCCTATTCTGCCTGACCCACCATTCCTCCACCTGTCACAGGCTGCCTTTTCCAGCCTAACTCCCAGCTGGACGCCATCTGTTCTAACAGGCCTTTTCCCAAACAGAGCTGATGCGGCCCTTTGTCCCATCACATCTTGTGTGATGCTCAGAGGACCCAAAGCAGCCTGACTGCATCATAGTTACATTTGTCATTGGGACCCAAAATGTGCTCAACTGTAGGACCTGCTCAAACAGGACATTCACCCGTGTCTTACTTTCTTCGTTGAAATGTGGTAGACCTGGCCATTTATGATTAGGAACAGACTCCAAAGCCGCCCTTGTCCTCCTGGATTTCCTCCTCCTATTATTACCTGGGAAAATGTGCCCACTACCTCCGTGACCCAGTTTCTTTAACGGTGAAAAGAATAGTAACAGCAGCCAACAGTAGGGGTGTTGAGAGCACAGTGAGTTAATATATTTAAAACTGCTTAGTACAGATATTATTTTAATAAAATGGGTTACAACAATTACTCAGAATAATTAGCACTTACTATATTCACTCTTCTCCTTATACTATACTCCTTACTTTGTTCTGACCTACAGTACTGTTATAATATATATACATTCCTCATGAGACTGAGCTCCTTGTAGATGCTCTCTGTGTCTTGTCCTTTGTGTTCTCAAAACCCAGGAGAGGGTCTAGAAAAGAGTAAGAACTTAGGGAATGGATGGGGAAGGGAAAGAAGAGGGTGAGAAGGTAAGAAAATGGAGGAAGGAAAGAGGAAGGGAAAGAAGGCTGGAAGGGAAGGAGGAGGGAGGCAGGGAAGATGAATGGATAAGGAGTATGGGGTAACACCATATCTTTGGGTGACAAGACTCCCTGGCTCTCTGCCCGCCTTCCCCAACACCAGGAAGGAACCTGTATCAACTATCAACTGCTGCTTGTCTCTCTGTTCTAGACACGGCTAAAATAAGAAGTTTCCCCAGCCTTGACCTTTACTGCTCTGTAGACACACCCCTTTCCCATCTGCACTCCTCTGTTCAAGACACTTCTGCCTCCCGAGGTACCTCTGCACTCTCAGCCCATCTCCTGCTGAGGAGCACTGAAGGCCCTTATTCGGCAACCTTCTCTCCCTGGGATTCTCCCCAGCTTTTCCAGAGGGGCATCCTCCCTTCCTGACAATTCCCAGCACAAACACTGTCCCTCTTGCATGGTATGCTACACCCTTGAGCTATATTTGTGTCCATATTCACTTGTCCTGTCCAGTGTGAGATCTCTGGTGGCAGCTATGATGTCTGCCTCTATGCTCCTGTGTCCCACTGGGGGTCTGGCATACAGGGGCTTCAGTAAGCATTCACCAAATTGAAACAATACATTTCTGACAGAGCAAAGGACAGGATGTCCAGCATTGTGCTTCCACTGGGTATGCTACCTCTGACGATGCTTAGCTTGTGAGGAGAGAGGGGTGGCTTCGGGATTGCATCCTTCTTTTTTTTTGTGGCGACTCCTGTGACACTTCTGTTTTTCAGAACATCTGTTCCCCAGATCATGACTGCCAAGTTCTTTGTGTACTTAGAATCTCCTTGGGTTACTTGTAGCTGGTGCCATTTCTCCTCATCAACCCAAATCCCGCTTCCCAGATGAACCTGAAAGAGATAACACCACACCTGTTTAGTCCCACAGGAAGGCAGCCGGAGGCTGCTCTTGTCCTTTAAAAACACTACTTCTCCACTCTAAGGGATCATGCCAAAGAGGCAATAACGGCATCACTTACAGAGCTCTTGCAATGTAGCAGGCCTTATTCTAAAGTTCTGACTTCACTCTCCTAAACAGAAGGTGCTATGATACACTTGTCACTTCCGATGGGAAGAGCAAGTTCAGTTATGTGAAGTGACTTTAGAAGTCACTCAACTGATGAGTGGCACATCTGGGATTCGTGCTATTATCACATGGGTGCTCTGAGCCTGACCCATCTCAGTGTATTATGTGCTCGTGTGTGTATGTTATACGCTAGAAAGATTAGACCCTCTTCTACCTGCACATTCTGAGGCTCACCCCCTGCTAACATGGTGGAGGCTGCTTGCAGGACTCACCCAGCTATAGCATTCCCTGGTGCCCAGGCCTCCTCTCCAAGATTCTGAATTGTTTGGTCTGGGTGTGGCTCAGACACCAGGATGGTTTAGCTCCCTAGATAGTTCCAATTTAGAGCTAAGTTATAAATCTCTGCCAGCTGGCAGGAGCAGAGCAGCTGCCTGGCTCTGCAGCCAGCAGGCGTGGAGTTGGGTGAGTCCTTCTCCAGCTCAAACTGCAGCGTCCCTATCTACGAAGTGGGAGACTTGGATTTCATCTCAAAGTTCATCTCTCTGGCTCAGAACACCTAGGATTTTAAGAAATTAAATGCAACCACAATGTATCCGGTTTGATTTGGGTAGCGCACACATCAGAACACCATCTCGAGCTTCCTAGAAGAGAGACAGCCAGAGGGATGATGAAAGCCAAGAAATCACTGTACCCTCTCTACTTCCATCAATTAACTAAAAAATTTGTCCCCAGTTGTGGCTCTTAACAACTTACAGACTAATACTAATGTTTATCATTAAAAAAAATTTTTTTTTGACCTTGTCATAGCCATTTAGGTTGAGTTTCTGCAGAGCATGTGGAGGACAGAAACAGCCTCTGTGGGATGGAGTGGAGGGGCCTGCCAGCAGCTGACCTTTCTAAGGGGTGTGAAAAGGCTCTGTCAAAGGCCTTTGTTTTCATAAAGACCTTCATCAACAACGAATGGTTAGGAGACATCTTGGAGAGGTCCTGGCCTGAGATGGCAGGCGCGCGCGCGTGCGCACACACACACACACACACACGCACGCACGCACGCACGCACGCACCACACACACACACACACACACACACACACACACACACACTGATGGAAGAATGTAAGAACAATTGCTCAAGAAATGATTAAAGATTCTTCTGGTCAAACTTGGCTTGGGGAGAAAGGTGGACAGAGATGGGCAGCCAGGCCAGCCAGTAATACTTCCTCCATCAATTGCTGAGGTTTTCTAACTATCAAAACAAACAACCAGGCAACTAACTCACTCTCCTTGATAAATAAATGTTCTACAGGTCACTTCTAGCTTCACCTCCTTTTGCTCAAAAGATCATTCAGCCCAGTGTATGAGCACAGACAACCAGATCCACCTGGCCTCTCTGTGCCGAGCACTTCAGGACTGCAAATCAGTTTGTTCTGCTCAGACATACAGCAGCCCTGGGGTGAGATGTGCTTCCTGGGGATGGCTTAGCAACCAGAGCCCAAGGCCAAATTTGGCCTTATTCCCTGTTCACATATGAACTGCAGGTGGGCAGTCTGTATCAGGTGAGCAGGCATGCTTAGTGCAAGGTCCCGAATGGAGCTGTGTCCCTCCCTTGATGACATTCTGAAGCCACCCTCACAAGCTTCTGGAGATAAGAAGGAGACAAGGGACTTTGCTCTAGACTAGATTCTGAAAGAGAAACACCCAGACATATGCAGCAATTCTCCTACATCAGCCTTTGACTACTGGGATCATAAGCCTACACTACAACACCTGGCTTAATTTATTACTCCTGGATAGAGATGAAGTCACGTAAGCCAATGTTCTAGAAGAAAAAGGAGCCATATTATTGAGTACCTACAATGAACTCAACTTCCTTATTCCTTATAAAGTCCTTAGGAGTTAGAAGCAGGTAGAGATTGCGGTTCTCATTTTACACACGTGAACACAAATTCAGGGGGTGGGATTAAATTAGTTTCCCCAAGACATATAATCAGCCAATTAAAAAAAATCTACATTCAGTCCCAAATCTGTGTAGCCCAGATGCCCTCCTGGCCTGTCCTGACATAGCCTGAGTGCCAAGGTGGGGCTAATGTTGCTGGAAAGTGCACACCTAACACAGCAAGCCCTGCTTATTATAGGTTTCCCTTCTGCACCTGCAGGCCACACCCTGTGCCAGCTTCCAGTACAGTATACCACAGGCAGATGGAAATTGGAAAAAAGCCTGGCTGACTGGCTTTTTTGCCAGTGGCTGCTCCATCCAGCTCACCCTGTAATCACTGATATCCACTTCCCTAAAGCACTGCTTTCCTGCTTCGACTAGACAGCCTCAGCAGTCTTCGGTTCTGTGTTTTCATGTCAACCCTTTGGCATTTGAAATGGTTCCTTTCTTTCTTTCTTTCTTTCTTTCTTTCTTTCTTTCTTTCTTTCTTTCTTTCTTCCTTCCTTCCTTCCTTCCTTTCTTCCTTCCTTCCTTCCTTCCTTCCTTTCTTTCTTTCTTTCTTTCTTCTTTCCTTTCTTTCTTCCTTCCTTTCTTTTTATTTATTTATTTTTTTGGCTTTTCAAGACAGGATTTCTCTGTGTAGCTTTGGAACCTATCCAGGCACTCGCTCTGGAGACTAGGCTGGCCTTGAACTCACAGAGATTCGCCTGCCTCTGCCTCCCGAATGCTGGGATTAAAGGCGTGCACCACCAACGCTCAGCGGCTCCTTATTTCTTATCGAATAAGATCTGACTCCTCAGCCTGGCTCTAGTCTATCACTAACCCAGTGAGTCCACCTGTCTACAAAGTCTGCAAACAACATCCACCTCCTCCTCCCAGTGCTAGATGAGGAGGGGGATGGGCTCTGAGCTGCCAGCCCTGGGTGTGGACCCTGTCCCTTCTGTCATCTGATCAACATGGGCTAGGGTTAGTCAGCATACTTCTTTCTCTGAGTCTCACTTTTCTCAACCACACAGATCATCCTCTAGCTCATATAGGGTAATACAGTACTACGTGAGATGAACTATATGTAAGGAGAACATATAGCTAGTGGCTGCTACATCCCTGACCCTTCTTTGTGAATGGGCATCTCTGTTCTCACATCCTCTGGTCCAGAAAGGAAGGGATGTCCTTAAGAGGACAGATTCCTATCATTTTAAGCTACTCGGGTTTCCATACCCAGTCCACAATCCAGAAAATGTTATTTAACTGCCACAGGGTTAGGTTATACCCCTTGTGAAGTACTAGCTCACCTACAGTCATTACTACCCAAGTCAGTCCTACCTGTCACGGCTTCCCCCTTCTGTCTCCTGTAGAGTGATCAAGACCAGTCTAAACACAAAGCAATTACAAAACATATAAGCATATTTTAATATATCTGTGCCACAGCATAGAAAGAAATGGTCCCTGGGCCTCTGGAAGACCCATCAAGACCCACCTAGGTCCATGCTGAGCAACTGAGACAAGGGCTGCTGAGGTCAGCACACTCACGGCTACCTAGAGCACTGTGCAGTTCCCATGGGGCACAGCAATGCAGACTGCAAAGAGCACTGGCCTAGGAGCTAAGAGATCTGGTTTTCAGTTCCCACCTGCCCCTGACCCGTCACACAGCTGAGATCAGGCCCTGCTCTGGGTGCATTTTCAAGTTACTTAATATATGTCATACAGTTTAATGGCCTTTGCAGTTTTATAACTCAATGAGGTGGGTTTTCTTTTTCTTTCTTTCTTTTTTTTTTAAATAAAAACATCTTAGATAAGCAATGGACTGATCAGAATCAGAAAGTAATGTGTGTGGCAAACCACATTCAGGTAAACCATGGGAACATTTGATCAAAATGTTAACCTTCCTAGTCAGGGAAGATTATAAAAAAATACGGCAGCTGGTAGGATGGGACTCCAAGAATTACTTTGTGATGTGTGTTACAAGACAAAACTCATTTCTAGTAGCAAATGAATCAGAATCCAGTGACCCAGGCCTTACAGAGCCAGGAGCAAGGCAACCATTTGGGATGTGACATCTACTGCCGTAAGGAGCTGCCCTCTATTCCCAGTGTCTGCTTTCTTTCCTCCATGTTCCTAGAGTCCTCTCTGGCTTACCACAAATCTACAAATTCATTTCAAAGAAAAGTTATGTGAGGTTTAGAGCAACGGCTGGTAAAAAGGAAAAGAGGCACTTTCAAGAGGTGTTTAATGTGTGTGTGTTAAATATTAAATGAGGTTTCTGAGACCTGTTTCCTTGGTAAAGAATGTTACTTTTGCAGCGGGGCTCAGAAGCTGCCTGGCAGCCTTCAAAGCAGGAGAGAAAAGGATTTTTCTTGGAAGTCTCTTAAGAAAAATTCTTCAATCACTCCACAATGTGGATCATGACTAAAAGGAAATCAAGAGACCCATGATGGCTCACCCATTCTATCTTTAATTTGGGTGGTTTATTAAACTTAGATACCCACTTTCAGTCCAAAACGGCCTATGGAAAACATCAATGTGATGTGCATTTCACAGATAAGGACATGGAGGCCCAGAGAGGCCAAAGACCTGCCTGATGTCACACAGGAAGGACAGAAGTAGAGCTATGCTGTGAGTTAAGGCCCAGGCTTCCAACCTTACTCTTGGAAAGCTTACTGTGAAAGTCGGTTGAGTGAAGCAAAGACAAGGCCTATGCCCTGGGCCATCAAGTCCTGTCCCTGCAGAGGATCAAGCACTCAGAGAGAGATTCAGGGCAATGGCAGCACATCCAAGAGAGCCCTGAAGACAAGCATGTTTCTTTTCCTCAGCTTGACAACATTTCCTTTGGTTCAGGTCAGACAGTTGTGGGGACATATCTAGACAAACCAACTCAAACAGCCTTTTCTTTTTACTAGGGAATGGTACCAAATAAACAGAGACTACTCAAAGCATGAGGCAAGACACACGAGCTGACAGAGATGATTCCTGGGCGTCAAGGAGAGGTGTGTCTGAAGCATGTGTGGTAGTGGCAAAGAGTGTATGCAGGGCTAAAACTGGGCTTTACCTGGGTCTCGACAACGGACTCTGACAGCCTCCTCTTTACCATCAGGCCTTATGTGTTCTTTCATGACTTGTTTTAAGGAGTCGTGAGAGAAAAACATGAGGAGTCAGATGGAGCCCTAGAGTTGTGGGCCAGTGACTTGGGGACCAAGGAGTATGGCTCATTTACCCCTGTATCTCCAGGATATAGCTGGGGGCTGGGAACATCTACTCTGTAAATGTTGAATGAATATACACTGAGTTGCTATCTATAAATGAGTAATTCACTTTAAGTTAACCTCTTATACTCTGTGCATCTGGTTTCATAGGAAGGTAAGAAGAATTTCATTGAACTATTAAAGGAATTCTCTTTTTTTAAAAAATCTTTCTCACTAATAAGCTGTTCTAAATGCTAGGTTACTTTCATAGTTATTTTGACACCATATATTTTAAAGAGGAAGAAGGGGAAGTCCCAGCAAACCTATGCTACCACGTCATCAGTTCCACAGTTACCCAGATCTAGGCTGGGAGGCTGGCTAGCCACACTGGGCTTCCTAAGGCCCCCACTGTACTATCCACCTTTCCTCTGATAGTAAACATCTGGGGGAATGGATATTGAGCTGAAAACACTACCTTGCCATTGTCTAGGATATACTTGTCCATGACAGGCGCAGGAGCAGGGTAATAGGACGACGTATTTGCTTCCTCACTGAAAGTGCTCCGTAACTCCGGCTCGGGCTCGAGACATTCTGACTTTACTTTTTCCAAGTCAATGGCGGGACCTAGGCAGTTAAGAAAAGAGATCTGTCTAGAACTCCAAGGAAAATAAAAGGCAAATATTCTTAACTATGCATCTATCAGCACATAGTGGCACTAAAAAAAAGCTAGCTTATTTTTGTTCTTTATGCTACACTTAAAACCAGACTCCAAAGTTCTATGAGGCATGAATGTCACAAGGTGGAATCAGAGGGCAAGAATTAACTAGACTTTAGTCATTAAGTATGCTTGAGGGCCATTTTCTAGGGTGTCAGTATCTATGCAGAATGACAGGAGACAACTTTCTGCACAGGAGAGAGGGTCTATTCAGACTGCTGGAAAAAGGATGGCAATTACTAGAATATGCAATTTGGGGGCTTGCCAATAATCATCTCTGGAGCCTATGATGGAGAGGGCCATGAGAATGAAGGGAAATGAGGAAAGCTATGGGGAGAAACGAAAAGAACTCCTTCCGGGGACCTAGTATCTCAGCAAGGGCATTCCAACCAAGAAATTTAAATACAACACAGAGTAAACTCCTGATTGCTTGATGCAGCGATCATTCATATTTTATATTAATGCAATCAACACAAATTATGTGAGATTTAAACAGTGAAAGGAACCTGGGGAAACGGTTGCTGTTTCTAGGGGGGCTCTTTTCTTTTCTCTGCTAGCTTTTAAAATAAATTTTTTTTAAAAAAATTACCTATTGTGTCTTGATTTCGAAAGAACAGAGAAAATGGGTAAATACGGTCAAACAACTCAATTAACTTGTCTGGGAGAACAACTTCAAAAGCCTATAGTTTCACATGCTGGCCTTGACTAAAATGGTGGAGCTGTATGTTGCTGTGTTTAACTTAAGTAAGTGATGAATTCAGGCTGTAACTTTTTATCTTGGCCACATGGATAACTGGGTTCAAAGCTCTTTATTTACTACACCCTTATGTAATGATCTGGTTGCAACTCTATGCTCTTTTGACATATCCTAGATTTTGGCTGACGGAGGGAATGTCTCTGTGAGTTTGCTAGTAGAAGTCCTTATGATAGGCCTTCCCCAGAATAAGAGCTCCTGGCAGCTACAGCAAGACAGACTCTCTGCAGTCTCCACAGAATTAAGCATGGGCTTTCCAAAAAGATGACCACAGAATAGCCAGAGAGCAGAATGACACAGAGAAAAGGACACGCAGCATGTTGGTACAGATTGCGCCCCACCCCTGGATCTGCATCTTTTAATTTGGGGACTATAAGTGAATGATCTGCAGGCAAAGAAGCCGGTGGAGTGCAGGACAGATAGCATCTTTATCTTTCTGGCAGCATCTCCTGAGTGTGCTTTATACAAAGTCAAGCCCAGTTCTTATATTTTCCCTTATGCCCCAAACCTGGTAGGTGTTTTCCAAATGTTTGCTAAAAAAAGAAAGGATCATAACAAAAAATGAATCTAAAGTCTCTGAAGCACATGCCAAAATTTCTCTACAACAGGTGTGAATTTTTAAGATATGAACAAGTAAAACAATTGATCTTTTCTCAGATCTGGAAAATGTAACTACTCTATTTTCCCTTAAAGACAGCCTGAGCTGTTTGGTGTCTTGTTCTGCTCTGCTGTTCAGTGACAGAAAAGAGCAATAGGCTGAGAAGGCCATTGCATCCACTGGCTCTCAGGTCATCTGTGCAAAGTCCTTGAAATCTCCTTTTCTTTTCATGAGAGAAGACATTAGGCAAAGGCTTATGTCCCTAATCCCAGCACCCATGCTTGGGAGGATCAGACTTTCAAAGCCAGTCTTACCTGGATAGCAAGCTGTAGATCAGCCTGGGCTACATGAGGCCTTGTTTCAAACAAGGAGAATTCAAGGGCTCAATGTCTGCCAAAGATAACTTCCACAAGACCATGGCATTGCTCCTCCTTGTTTACCATCCCTTATACTTAATATTAAGTACCACACCACAGCCCATGAAGGCCCAGGACAACCAGCCTCTCCCTATGTCTTGAATTCAGATTGGCTCCTTTGCTCAGTTTTGTGTGTTGAGTTGCTCTAGGTCTCAGGACTATTAAATCAGTGTTGAAAGCTGCCTTTCTGTCTTCTCAGTTCCCAGTCAGGTGGCTTCTTTCTGATACTTTGCTCTAAGGTAGTAGTCTCTCTGTTATAACTTGGAAGCTGTTTGTGCAGCCAACTACCCCCTGTCTTATTGCAGCATTACACTGGAAAGCTCACAGTTTTACTGACAGTGCAGCTGTAGAGCCTACCTGGCACATGGCAGGCTCTTAGTAAATTCACTATGACATGAGGGCAGAGAGGTTGACAGAAGTTTTCTTTGATGGGTGTGCTGCTAAGCAGGGTATTGGAGGAAGAATTGTGGGGAAGAAGGAATGTCTGTAACCTTTTGTATAGTCCAACAAGTAGAAACTGGGACTAGATAAACTTCAGAAGCAGCTAATCAGAATGGACAGTTCCAGATGCTACGGTTATAGACAAAGGACTCTGCATCATATTGACAGAGAATAGAAGAGCAGAAGTTGAGTGTCATTTCTCTGGCTCAATGTCCTGTTAGTTCACTCTCCTGAGGCCCCTTTCTAGCCTAAGTGGTCTCCCTAGTCCCCCTCACACATACCTTCTCTTCCATCTTGGAGGCTGTGCTTGTACTGTCCCTTTTGTCCAGCTGTCCAACTCCAAGGCCTGACTCAAATGCCACTACTCCCATCAGACCAGCCTGATCCCTCCTGGCTTGGGAGTGAACACTGGGCTCAGATCACTTTGCTCTAGTTCAAGTGCTCCATCTTCCTTTGTACCTCCCCTGACACCATCTCCATTCTATAAAGGCATCTGGTGCCTCTACTTAGCTGTGAAGCTGAGCAGAGGCAGGGACGGCCCCCGTCTTTTTATGTCAGACACCAGGGCTCATCAGGTGCCTGGTCAAATTCCTATCACAAGAGATAATTTACACATCTCTGACCTAGCCTCACATTAAGGAAAGAATGGCAACAACTTGACTAGATTGAAAACTAGGTGAGTTACACACACACACACACACACACACACACACACACACACACACACACACGTGCGCGCGTCATATCCACTTGTGTGCTTAATTTTTGACTCTGCTAAACCATGATGGACTCAGTTAGTCGGGACCTGGATGGTCTGGTTTTGTCCCTAGTACTTAGCCCAAGGAGACCCTGTACAGAGGAAGACCTTGTAACCATTTCCACCCCTTCCCTATGCTCAGACTCATGTCTTGAGGGACTAGCAGAGCTCTGTCAAACACTGAGGTTCCTGTACTGCTCTTGAGGCATAGCGTTTCTTACCACCCTGAGTGGCCACAACACTGGTGGCAGTTCTCTGCTGCAGTCTCCTTTCTCTGGCACATTGTATATACAGAAAGTACAAACCAGGGTGGCAGGCTCAGCAAGTGGGGCATCTAGAAAAAGCAGCCAAATGCGTATCTTGACAAGGATTTTCAGCACACTTGGGTTTGATTCCAGGACAAAAGATCTTAGAAAAGTCACTTCATCTCTGAACCTCAGATTTCCTACTTACAAACGGGTGACCAAGGGACACCATGCAGGCTGATGATGACTCCCGGAGAGTCAAGGACCGAGGCAGGTAGACAACAGACAACGAAGCTCAGAAAATGGCAGATGAATGGGGTATGAATCAGTCAGTAAAGCACATGTTCAGCATTACAGAATCAGGAAAGAAAAGGACAAAATCCAACAAAACCACCACCAACAAAAGCCCCATGTTGTTTCCTTGGAGAGCAGAGGGAGGGCTCTAGTGCTTTTAATTTAAGACATGGGGGAGTGGGGGGGTCGCTTCATTGCAAATTTTAGTCGGCTCCACTCCCGATGTTGGCAATTTACATCTCATTACAACAAATGCTTCAGATTGCTGTTTTGCTTTTTAAAATTTCTGAGGCATTGTTCTGCCTCAAACACATGTGACCAAATTAGCCACAATAATAAGCACTTGCGCTAGGAGACAACACTACATTCTGGCGCAGATATTTTAGGTAACAAAGGAACTTTTTTCATTTTGTGGGAAGAGTCGGAATAAAAAGAAAGGCCTTTTGATCCACTGGCATTCTGGTGGTGACACACACTTGAGGTTTATTTTGGGGGAAATACACCTTCCACGAAGAAAAACCTCTTAGCTAAGTATAGAAAGCTTTTACAAGGGCACAAAAGGCAGTGCCTGTCTCCTCCTTCAGTCATTCATGAACTCAGTTACCACACAAGCTGTGACACACAGCCACACAAACCCACTTACCGAACAAGCACTGACATACAACTCATATGAACCCACTCACCACACAAGCTCCGATACACAACCCACACAAAGCCACTCACCACACAGCTGTGACACACAACCCACTTACCACACAGACTGTGACATACAACCCACATGAACCCACTTACCACACAAGCACTGACATACAACCCACATGAACCCACTTAAGCTCCAGTACATACCCACACAAAGCCACTCACCACACAAGCTCTGGTATACAACCCCCACAAAGCTACTCACCACACAAGCTCTGTAGGAGACACTGAGGATCATGGGACAAAAAAGAAAATATTTCCGCTTTGGAGAAGTTTGTAATTCATCACATGATACCCTATTACGTCATATACAGGTATAATGGGTACATAGTGGAGTTAGGCTACAAGATACGGTTTAAATCGTGTGTCCAATATCCTCTACCTCTTTAAATCATGGCAATCCCTTTTATAAAATGAGGATTGAATCACAGAGAACAGTCCGTCTGTCAGACCACAAAGAGATAAAACTGTACTACGCCTTTATCTTAACTCTGAAAAGTTGCCTCTGGATGTTATTTCAAGAGTCTAGAGGTCACCTGTGTCTTCAAATCATATACATGTTTGGATGTTATCACTTCTAATTTATTTCAAAATCAAAAATTTCACAATGTTACGTTTCTTCTTAAAGGGATTAAATCATATTTATTTCTGCATGTCTATAATGAGTTTGAAGCACAAGCCTAGTTTTCCAAGGAACAATGTGAA